CCAATCGAAATTTTTTTCAGCTTTGGTAAGTTGGAAAAGAGTATGGTGAATGGGCAGGCGAAAATAAACGCCGGAGAATTTTTCGATGTCCTCATTGGCAGTGTCATCAATAGAATCATCTTCTCTGAGCGTTTCACAAAAGTACGTTCACTACCTTGGACAAATTGAAAGGCCTAAAAGGTTGCGGAACCCTAGCGCCCCGTTCGTCGGCCCCTGTTCGCTCCTTACAGCATGCGCCACCTTGTAGTGCTGGGAATCGAACATGACGCTAATATATGGCGCTTTCCTACTCCTTTACTCCTTGTGGCCAAGTACAGTAGCGGTCAAAAGTGTTCGCCGAAACGATTTTTAGTGCATTATTTTTTCTCGCTTGAGCAACGCCCTCCAAAGATTGATATACTATGTTTTCTAGTGTTTTTATATCCTCAAGTCTTAAAGAATCAGGATATTCAAAAGAAAATTTTTTCGAGGCCACCATTGATTTTTTCTGGCAAAAAAAAGAAGCACGAAAAACGTTTAGGCGAACACTTTTGGTCGCTACTGTATGTCATCAGTTGGGGCGCTATTTCTGACCCAATTTTTTCTTAGTGCTTCTCATTTGTTGGTGTTGACTTCTGAAGGATATTCTTAAAATTATATTTCAGGAAAATGCTGCCGAATTCTTTGAAGTTAAACATGCAGTGGATAAGGAATTAATGACCTTGACAGCTTTTGGTATGTCGCTGCAAAAATGGACGCTCAACTTACCACTACTTTAAAAATAAGTGGAGAAAGCTCATCGAACCTCAAGAGAAACTTTTGGAGTTTCTTCAAAAAAGGATTGAGCAGAGGTTTGCTAACCTACCGGCAGTTTGGATGGGTACTTGTTTAGTGGCTAATCAACTAATTTCTTATTGCAGAAAGGAAGACATCGCGTCGGGTAAGCATTCTCTGGATGGAGATGGTAATGATTTTGTTGATGCCTTTTTGATAAAAATGGAGAAAGATCGAAGAGAAGGTCGACATCCGACTCAATCGTACAAGTTAGTAATGTAGTGCAGTGCAATAGAAATAATTAAGCTTTCTGGTGATACTATGTAGCTCTAGCTGTTCGAGTGTTTATGTGTCGAGGGGCAATCCGTACCACGTGCACAGTGTGTAGATCTACCTCATCCAATCCATCCTATCGACCTTCTTTGAACTGCCTATTCAGAACCCAATTCTCAGAAGTACTAGGGCAAAAGCCGTGTCTTAAACGACGCTCACCATGATTTTGAGGTCGAATAACGGGATGAAAAGGATACTGGTTGAAGTACTGGCGACGAATGATACCTTTTTCATGCGCCACGCATTCTGCTCCCATTCGGAACCAAGGTGGGATTTCTGAACGCGATCCGGCCTATACAATGCTTTGCAAAGACTGGCCGACGGACAAGTCATTGTTTTTATCCGTACCATTGATCAGCTCCGGAGGGAAGAAATGCTTTGGTCTGCATGGGTGAAATTCGATGGGGGGGGGGCTTGACCTCAGGCCCTATGCGTGGGGAGTGCACCATTTTTATACCCAACCTCCGTGTGGATTTATGAGTAGTAACCAAAAGTGGCGTTTTCCGATGTTCTTTGAAGCAATACCGGAGTGTGGATAATGGGGAAGCAGAAATCGCACACCGAAACAAAAGTCTTTTTCTCACTTGAGTTATAGTAGTATACTATCCGTCGGAAAAGGGCAGAGAAATGACAGAAATGGCAAGAGAGCCGCAAAGTTATTGCGGCATCATTCTCTAGGCGTGCACTGCCGATGGGGCGGAGACTGCGTGGCAGTCTCCGCCCCATCGGCAGTGCAC